GGTTTGAGCGTCTGCGCCATGAACATGTGTACCCGTATACCTGCTTACATGAATGAGCTTCTTGGCGGACAAAAGTGCTGAGACAAGCATCAAGAATCAAGCAGCACACCAACCCAAAGTGCTTCGTGGTTTAATCACACATACCCATGCTTTAGGAGCAGTCTCATGTTAAATGACATGGCGGCCAAAGAACCGGAATTCTCCCCCCAGGCAGTCACCTACTGTCCATGCGAAATTGATTGAATTCGCCCAGTCTGCTTGATTTATCCTAAAACCAGGATGCCAGTCTACACATCCCAAAAACATCGGGTGGCTGCGCAGCCGCGCAGCCCGATGTTCTCTCACTGTTTGAGCCCCAAACTCCTGAGGTCCGGAGTTCGTGACAAGACCTTCGTCGAGCCCATCAATCCGTCCTCCTTCTTGGACTTGCTTCAAGCAAACATGAGAACATACAGATCTTCCCCAGTCTTGGGGGATTCTTGGGGGAACATCCAAAAAGGATTAAACATCACCCGGCTGGCACAAAGGGTTATATAGATGCTATAGCCATTCCAAAAGAACCATGGCTCCCCCGAAGCCAGGGCCCATGCAATCCGAGGCTCTTCTTGTCGTTGCCTGTAGCTCGGTCCGCCTCTTTCTTAGCCTCGGTTTTTCAGCGTATTGTTCGTTTGTATGGCTCGGGGCATATGCAGTGTACAAAATGAATATGTTTGAATGCAAGTCAGCAAATCCTAATGCATCACAAACCTGCAGAACAACTTGCCGAAAATGCCTTGTACTTCTCGTAGACCTTGCGGTAATGCTCGTCGCAGGGGTGATCCCACACGCTTTCTCCTGGCAACAAGCGCACTGGCACCATGGACTGCTGACTCCCTCCTAAGTTGAAGCCTCTGCTCGGAGAAGCATACTCGTGCATACCACTGTATATACCTAGAAGCACCTGGGGCAGAAATTTCTGCCTCAGTCCGATTTGCCCGGGAGGATTCGCGGATTTAGGGGAAATCCGCGCCAGGTAGGAATTTCCGCGGGCAGCAGGGAATTTTTGCCTCAAGCAAAATCCAACATAGCAACTCAAAAACCATTACAACCTACCAGGTTGTCTCTTCCATGATTGCAGACCACATATCGTTCTGCATAGCTTCACATCTCAAGATCTGACACCCTACGATTTTGACACTTCTAAATTCATGACATTCACAAAGAGGCTGGGACATATGTTCAAGCCCTTCAAAGGCATCAAAGGCACTGTTCTTGAATCCCGCCTTCTACCAGGAAATTTCCGCCGGAAACCGGGTATTTCCGACGTTTTCCCGGGTATTTCCGCCTCTTTCCCGGGTATTTCTGCCTGTTTCCCGGGCATTTTCGCGCCAGGTGTTTTCAACTTTGGACTGATTTTAGTCCTTTTGTGATCATTCCGCACAAGAAGCCTTCAAAAACAAAGACACATAATATATGATATGATGGTAGCCAGATTTGCAGGTGGAGGTGGAAACTTAAGCGCTGCAAATTGTCTTTTTTCATTGCGGTGACCGTTCCAGGCAGAAATGCCCAATGTAAACCACAAAAATATTCAACTCCTCTAGAATATGTAGTCTTTGTCTCACTGGATTCCTGAAAGGGAATATTCGCGGCAACAAAAACATTTCCGCGGCAAACAGCTGATTTCCGCCCCAGGACGGGAAGAGCCGCTCTTCCCGAAAAAGGCAAGAATTTCTGCCCAAAGGATCTTCTAGGTATAGTATGGGAAAAGCCACCTCACCAAAGGCACTAAGACTTGTTGAATGCCGTGTCTGAGGGCATCTCGCAAGTATCCGCATGAAAAACAACCTTTTGGACACATGCCACTGCAACGAAAGGCAATTGATCAAATGAGGGGCGGCCTACATACTCACGTTGTGTGGAGCCCCTAACCTTGGCACCGGAGTATGCAGTGTATGCCAAGGGATATGGGAACCCGGGCAAGTCGTCGAGTTCCTGTTAACGTCTCTATATCATTCTATATCATGATCAAAGGAGTGCAGTCAGGTAGAATGTTCCTTAAGTAGGACATCAATCGGGCTGTTGTTCATTGGGCTAGGCTAGTTATAGCACAGTGCACCTCAGAACAAATCATCTCATGGATCCACCATGATCCAACTCAACCAGCCCGCCAAAACCATCCAAAAGCCGCCGACCATCGACCTGTCTCGAAGTTGAAGTAAAAGATCTCACCATCCTCCGACTCGCAGGGCTTCCAGGGCGCCGGCAGCCTCGGTCGAAGGCTCTCGGTGCCCAACGCACTCTGCGAGAAGCTCCCACCAAAAAATGGATCAATTCTGTGGGAGCAATGCTGGCAATACAGGTTCCACATGGTTCCACAGACAATCCATAAAGACCATCCATGTGAAGGCCACATGTCCAGGAGGCTTGTCTGCTCTTCACAGATCCCAACCCCAAAAAACCTGGCCCGACAAGCCCAGCAAACCAACCGCTGGCCAAAGGGGCGGAGCTTTGAGACCGGCGCGTGCGATCCAAAAGAGATCGCGATCCTTCTCCAAGTCCTGAAGAGCGCTGCGGCGAGTCCCAACACATTGAACTGAATTGGAAGGATGTGTTATGGACAAAACACGCGCAATGGTTCAATTGTGATGATTCTGATGTGTCAATGTGTAGACTGATGGTTGATTAGGATATGAAGATTAGGAAATGATGGGCTTGGTGTTTTTAGAACCCAAGAGATTCTGCTCACCTCGGTTTCCGAACTCTTCCTGGAAACCACTGCCGGCTGCAGGCTGCGTTCCGGCTCTAGGGGCCAATGCTTTTGCTTAATCTCATTCAGCCAACTGGCAGGTGTGCTAACTGAACCTATCCTCCAAGGTGCCCGTGTTACATGCAGGCTGGATCAACTTTTGGGCCAAGCGTCCATTCCCAGCCATTCTGCGTACTCTTCGACCTGCGATTGCGAGTCTGAGAGACAATACCTGATTACGTCATTGGGCCATTTGCTTAATTCGGTCGAACGACTGCACAACAGCCATTCGTGCACCATTTTCGACGTTGATCAACCGCCACCACGAACTACCATCGATACATCTGATTGAAGCTGGAACACGTCCATCGTCTGACACCGAAAGTGGGGCGTGGAAACGGATCGAAAGCCAATCACCATGCACGGCAAGGCTTACCAATTCCTAAAGTGTATTGTGTGTGCTAAACAGCAGGGAGGCAAACGATAGATCAAGGGGGTATCAACGGTGTCACAGCATCGCCAAGAAGTCTGATCACAAGGATCGTGTACAGTTGTCCAAACTTTCTCAGTGCTGCTCAATCAGTAGAATGAACATTCGGGCCCTTCTCCAAGTAGACTCGAAGCAGTACAACGCTTTGAACCCCAAGCATAGCAAACTATGGCTTTGTGAAAACCCCAAACATATCTTTGGCACAACGGAAAGCCGCTCGCAAGTCAACCATTGACTTAAAGCGGAGATAAGTTGGGAAGTCCACAGCTGCCTCTCACTTTCGGCACCGCTACATCTCTGCAAGCCTCCTTTTCAGTTGGTTGGTAGTCCGGGTCGATATGCTCGTCGAGCAGACTTCCAGCTCCTTTGCTGCCTGTCACATGGGCAGTTTGGGCCTCTAAAAAGCACACACACAGCCAGGTGGGATGTGGATGAACTTGGCATGTGGTCTTGGGGGCATCTTCTTGCTGTTTTCAGGTGTGCTTCTCACTCCAGCTGCCAAGACTGCAGCAAACGATTTTGCACCTCTTGACCAAGCAACCTTGTGCTCTAGGTCCTCTAGGTGTTGCACCTCTAGGTCCTCTGGGCGTGTTACATGTGGCTTCCGCCCGGTGAAGCATGTGACGAGGCCATGGAGGCCATGAGGAGCCCGACTTGTCGGAGTCCCAACCGTCCAGGAGACCGTTCAGGACGCTCTCAACTGATCATCATTCTTAGGATCGATCACCAAAGGCCTCCAAACCCAAGCTCCAAGTCTCTAGACCAGATCCCTTCTATCCCTTGACCCCCGGTCCAACACCCTCTCAATCATCTGATTTCATCTCAGCAGGCCCTTTTTCTTCCTTCCCCCTCCCTCACAGGGCCGGATTTCCGGCCACCGCTGGGGCGAAAGTGATCCCAGGCGAACTGGTCGACTGTGGCTCAAGTGATCCCAGTCGCAAAACCAAATGTCTCTTTCACCGTTAAAAACTCCATGGAAATGCCGTATATTTGTATACAATGGGGTGCTTGAAAAGGGGTCAATATGCATGTACGTGTATTATATGTATGATAAATATTGAATATTGATATATGCTCCATCATATTGCATACAGTCTTTCACTCTGACTCATCAAGTGGCAGGCTCGAACCGATTGAATTGGTCGACATGCGACTCAATGTGTCGGTTTGATCACACTCTGCGCCGCAACCAGCCCCTAAAGAAAAATGAGTTCCTGTTCTACAACAACTTTGCTGCATTCCAACTTTGGTCGGAGAGCGGGAGCACTGAAGCGTCAAATCCATTTGCTAAGCCTGCCCATGGTGAGATGCAAGGGTCACACCAAGTGAAAAACCATGGAAAACTACTGTACTTGTCCTTAGATCACCGCTGCTGCTAAGGATTTAGCCTGCACTGGTCTCAGCAATTGCGTCTTTCAAAACTCGAAGGGTATCTAAGGACGATCAACCAAAACAAAGAATCGTCCACCCAGGCTACTAGTATAACCATAGTCCAGTACTGGATGCCCTGGCAATGGTTGCCCTATCCTTTAGTGATATCCCATGATATCCCTAACCTCCGAAGAATCACCACAAACGTTGACCAAATATCACTCTCTCATCAAGTCTTGGTGTACAATTTCAGTGAATCAAGGTGAATGTGTTTAACCGGTTGTTTGCATCCCATTGGCCCCTAAGAGAATCACGTGATTACATTGTAACTATTCTCACAATACCTCACATGTTTGTTCATGGCACGTGCTGACATCATCTGATCATCTGACCGTGATGGCCACATCTCACCTATGTCTTGGCAGGCAGTTGGTACCTCATCATGCTCGGTGGCGGCAGTGCGTTGACCTTCGCCTGGCCGATCTGAAGAAGGCCAGGCCCACGACCTTTTGGAGCAAGCAGCATCCCCGTATATCCCCGTTGTTACCACCTTACAAAGAGCTTTAAGAGAAGTTTGGGGGCTGGTATAGAACTTAGCAACCCACTGCTTGGAAAAAGAAACATAGGTTGCACAGTGCACATCACTGTTGTCCCTTCATGTCTCTCACACTTCGCTCACCCCGCGGCACTGGGGAGAAAGGTAGATCAGGGTAGATCTAGTCAATTCCATGGGGTCCTCAAAGTAGATCCTTGGCCTTCAGCTGGGAGGTACCTCCATGGAGTGCACTTGCCCATCGAGTTGTTGGCGCCACAGCCAAAAAGTCCCCGAAGGACAGCAAACAAAAAACATCTTGACTCTTGACGACTGATATTGAATTGACAACCTCTGGTCAATCAAGGTGAAAAAGCTTAGCAGCAAGAAATCAAGCTGTACTCATCTACTAAGTTGGTCTGGAAAGGTTGGTCTCTTCCAAAACGGTCTATATATTAAACAAAAAAACCTGTATATATGAGGAATTATATATTGAGTATTGAGTGGATATTGAGTGGCCACATGAACTTGTCCTACAGAATTCCACCCAGCTTCTCATCCGACACCTTCGGTCGCCTCGCACCGAAAAAGACTCACCCGTTGCACCAGCGAAAGCCCAAACAATCCAAGTCCAGGATCCGTTTGGAGGGCAACGCTCAGCCGTTGCAAGTTGCAAGGCTCCCTTTGGTCATGAGACCTTCCCGCTGCGGACCGTTGGCGGGGCCGTTTGGAGGACAGTACCGTGGACCACTTGGGAATTGTTGTTCAGATCTCCGCCACATCAGGCCTCCCACTGCTTGACACCACCAAGGCCAGGCTTGAGTGTTGCAGCACTCTGGCCACCTTTTCTCGCGCAGGTTGGTTTGGCTGAAAGTCAGGGGACTTTTTTGCAACAACAGGGGTTGGCGTCCAAATCAGCAGTCCCATGCAAGTCCTTTACTCACAAATAGCGCTCAGGCCCTACTAAGTCCTTAATCAGGGCCTAGAATGTGTCCTGTCTGCATTCCGTACTGCAGCGTGCCCCCACAATTTCATGATGCCATATATGCGCGTTATATAATATATATATATATATAATGGACACTCCGCCCATCAATGGGTTCTGGTCTCGTCTTGCCAGTGGCTTGCAAAACCTATCCTAGAACTACGTAGAGGCTACGATGCAAATCACCGAAAATTCCCGCCCGCCTGTGAAGCCCTGACGCGCCGGCGCCGTCAACGCGGTCACCTGCGGTGGGTCCGCACACTGGACCTGGACCGGTGAACTCGCGAAGCAACACCACTGGAATTCATGCAAATTCGGTGGATCGAAATCCTGAATCAAAGGATAAAAAAAGGACTGCAATCCCGCTTGGGCTTTGATCCTGTCTGGGCCCAATCACAAGCACCAGCTCAGCAAAAGAAAGTCAAACCTCCGAATGGGGGTAACTTCTATTTTGCAACACTCAAGGGCCCAAGCAACAATGGGCCACCATCTGGCCACCGGATGTAGCAAGTGGAGCCAAACACAATAGGCCAAACGAGTCTCAAACAACACGATAACCTTCTTCTCCCGTGCACGCGTGCCTGCGACGGCAGCTTGAGCCTGATGCGGTCAAATCCACGACAAGCTCATGTTGACTCTCCATGAAACAAGTTCTGGGGCACTGGTCCGGAACTGTCCTTGTTAGGAACATGTTCACTTAAAAAGAAAGATCACCAAGGAACACCGTCCAGGTTGCCAAGTGGGCAGCCCTGAAATGTCCGGTTGTTGCAGCAACACGTGGGGCCACGATCGGTTGAAGGCCGATCGATCGATCCAAGGCCATTGGACGTTGGGCGTCGACCGACGCTGGTCGACCAAGCTTCCGACGCACTGGTGCCGACGCAGGGAGCAGGCGTCACGGCCTGTGAAGTGTATTGCCCATGGCCTGCGGTGGAGCAACGGGGGCCCTGGTGGCCAGGGAAGTGATTGCAGGGAATGATTGCAACCATGAAGGGTGACCTTGACGATAGGCTTGGTAGAAGTTGATCAATCGGCCGTCCTGTGGACAAACTGCTGCATTCCATCATTCACAACCTCTGACACCAATCAGCCATTTGTGTGACTGTTCTACCTTCCTATTGCCAAGAGGCTTGGACCAACCAACGCGAACTCTTCAAGCAAATCTTCTCCCTTCCTTCGCCCCCTGCCTCCTAACATGGGGGCCTTTGCCACGCGCACCGGTGGCTCCTGGCGAGGTGTACCCTATCCATCCGAATATTGCATGTTCACTGGCTCAATTGGGGGTGATTTCATTATTATGATTCATCCCACCAGAAATCACCTGAAATGTCAAATGAGCGATGGAGAAAATCTCTGGGATGGTCAGGGGAGATGCTGTAGTTCCAGGGACCTCTGTCCATTCTGAACCAACCAAAGGGAGTCCGACCCAAACCATAGATTAGTTCAAATCCTCATTTGAGGCCGATCAGAGTACCCTCCCTCCAATCGCAAACGTGGGCCGCAGGTGCGGCCCAGAGTGTGGCTCCTTGGAAGGTGACTAAGACCAAACCAGGGGGTTAGCCCGCTTGAATGATGGTTTTGGAGGGGGAGGGAGTAAGTATCCAAAGGAAAGCTTGACAACTATGTACTAAAACATACAAAAATAACAAACGCCAGCAATTTTAGCAAAGCATCAGTCACAAGTCACACCCATTTTCAGGTGAGATGACGCTTGTGTGATCTTCTACAGTCATCACGCTTGGCGTGTTGAGGGGGCTGCGGCACCTATACTTACCCATCTCGTATCCAATTAGGAGGTGCTTCATTCTTCGCTCCTTCAGGAGCTCCAGGATCGCATCCAACTCCTTCCGAATGGCTTCGCCCTGACAAGTAGGGCGTCGAAGGTTCTCGTGGGTTGAGGGGAGCGTTTTTTGCGGGCGATGGTTTTAGCGGGCGGTTTGCAGGGGGCACGTTTTCAGGCGTTTCATTTGGGTTAGATGGACTCAAAATTGGCGCAAAGGTTTCAAAGACGAAAGATCTACAGTAGGAATCTATAGGATCTGTGGGCGAGGCACCGTGACCTGGACATAGTCTCATAATAAGTATATCTCATAGAAATCCAACTTGGCAGTTCAGGGCAGTTCATTGTACTTTACAACATGCCTGAGCCGGCTCCCATTGGTGTATGATGCTACATGTGCGGGAAGGAAAGCCTCAGAAGACTGGAAAATCCATGGAACACTGTGATCTTAGAGGTGGATGCTTGGCTTGTGCTTAGCTTGTCATCGTCTACCTCACCGGTTCACTCACCATCCCAAAGATCATAGCTTTCGCAGCCTGGCCATTGCCAGTGAGGCCGTACGGCCGTCGCAAGCGGCGTCCTTCATATACCCGCATGCTCGGCGCACGCATGCGGCAAGTGCGAACAAAGTAGGGGGCGAGGCGCCTGGTTTTGAAGCTCCGCCGAGGTCATCAAGTGTGTCTCTGCCAGGCGCTTGTGCCTCGAAACCCGCCATGTAATCCCGCGGTTCTGAAACCCGAACTGTGAAAAAACCACGGACGAGGCCACAGAAGCAACGAGATCCCACAGAACCGAGTGGATATCTGTATCTGTCGGGTCTGGGTCTGTGCACTGCTTTGATGCCGACATGAAAAGCACATCGTGGGCATTGATGCCGACCACAACAAGGTCTATAGGCGGCTAAACACGTGCCCCGAACGCCACTGTCGGACTGGTTCTTTTAGGCTGCCGGGCCTTCCACTCATTACATTTGCGGGGCTCGTCAATCAGCTCTTGTGGGGCGATAAGTCATATTCAAGGCGCTCGTGCAACTGACCAAAGCCATCTTCGATAAGGGAAGAGCTCTGTAAGTGCATGGCCTTGGCTGCGAAGATCGTGGTGCGAGATGAGAACCACACGGAGTATCAAAGGGAAAGGCTCACCGCATGCAGTGATATGTATTATATTAATATAGTTGACAAAAAAGGTTGATTGGGGGCACGCTAGGACATTGTCAGTGCATTTATAACTCCTTCAGGCATGGCATGAATTTGATTGGTCCTATCCTCACCTGAAGAGTAGTTGTCATTCCTGTTGATGTTGTCATCGATGAATCGTTGTTTGATTTTCCGTTGGAAGCATGCATCACCTAGAAAGCCAAGGCATACGACATGACAGCACACCATCACGTTCGAAGGTCGATACTAGCCAAGTTAGCCTACTAGACCTTAGTAGGATGGTCAAAACACTCCAGTTTCATGACCTGCAAGACCTGCTCGCAGACCAAACAATAAACCTTCAACGTCCTGAAACGATCCAAAAAAATAAAGGCACATGCTCGATGAACAAAGCAACAGAAGGATGGTCAAGGATGGTTTTCGCCTTTTGTTGAACATCAACACAGCAAATCACCTCTCCCTCGATGCTTTTTCTGTCACTCCACCGAGGTGGAAGACCTCTCATCCGTCGCCCCGGCGGTCGCCGGTGTCAACCTCGACCTCGACCGGCCTCGAGCATCTCATGCAGCTGCTGCTTCACGGACTCCTCGGGAGCGACTGTGGAGGAAGCAACTCAGCAAGTTTTGTTTTTGTTTTTTCTCCCTCAACTGGTTACCCACAGCAACCGGATCAAGCCGGCTGAGGGTATAGTGCGATAAGAAGTTTGCCTATATGCCAGGGGTTGACCTGACGCAAAAGCTGAATATCAAAGCGACATGAGGTGGTTTACAGATCTTGGGTGTTTCCATGTGTTTCCTGCAGCCTTGCCCCATGAACTGGTATTGAAGTTGCATGCTTTTCTGCCAGGACGCAGGGCCATGCCATTGATATAACTGTATATTTATTCTATAATTCATGCCGCAGTTGGCACTCTGACGAAGCCAACATCACCAAATGAACAGGCTTCTTGGTCCAGTATCCAAGATGGAACTGTTGCCGCAACACTGTTGGCTTGCAAAATGATGTCCAAACATGTACAAATGGACAAGAACATACGTCTCCTAGCCACTCTGACTGCCTCAAACTCCGCCCCAAGCAGTAAATGAGGAGCTTCTAGGGCCTAGGGACCCCGAAAAAGCAACAAAGGGTAACGTAGCAGGCCAATGTAGGCCAACTGAATTACCATTTCTGCTGCCTCTGCCCAACATATGTTTGAGAACGCAATGAACGCAAACCTCCGGTGCCAAGGTCTTCCTCAAGATTCCTACCCAGCTCCCAACGGTAGCAACTCTTCTCCCAGCTGAATCACTGCTGAATATGTTATTTAACTGAGAAACAGCTGGAAGACTTGCTCATGTGTTGAAAGTACAACCATCCTGGAGCAAATGGAATGTGAAACAATCCAAAAGCATAGTGTTCTATTGTCTTTTGGGATTTTCATGGGTTTTCCCTTCTTTCTACTCCAGGATGACTATAAATACAAAGTCGCACTCTCAACACAACACATACTGGAGGCCGGCAAGACCACACTCCTATAGTCGAGAGTACTCTCTATGATCCCAATCCAGGCCGCCAGGCCATGTTGGTCAGCCGATGAGTTCCACCCGACTCCCAAGCTGCCGAGCTCCCGCGAGTTCCCTTCGACTCCTAAGCTCCGAAGCTTCGAATCCCCAGCTCTGACTGAAGCTCCGAGTTTCATCCAAGCCCGGTGGTTTGCTTTGCACCACTTTCAAGCCTCAACACAAGGCCCGGCCCGGCTCGAGCCCTGTGGCGGGAGTCGAGGTAGACTGGCAGAAACGAGTTTGAAGAGTGGAAGAACCCGTGACCGTATGTATAACATGTGTAACCAAGACTGAGCAGACAAGTTAGACGCTGGGCAGCCTGCGCCTCAAAGGACTCTGTGTGACGTCATTCCGTTGTGTGAGTGTTGTCTTTGCGCTCTTGGTGCATCTACTTCTGTCTGGCTCGTTGGGAGCTTCGGGACCTTCCAAGCTCGGTCGCTGAATCCTGCTGAGCGTCTGCTCTCGGAAAGCTTCTGGATGATGTCCCTGTAGGTCTTCTCTTTATCAAGCCTAAGGCGCAAGCCATTCTGTTGAAAGTTGGAAGCTGGAGCATCTTCAAGTGCAGGCATGAGACCAACCAACACAATAGAGTCTTGTGTCTCAGCATGACACATCTCAACCCGTTCTCCAGCTTTGCTTCAACAAATCCTGTGCTACATTGTGCAATGCCGTTACCAGCTTGGTCTACATTCTTCATGCTCCTGTGTTGCTTTGTTGGAAATGGAATGAAAGCCTTCAGCACTGATTGGACCAAGAGGAAAATGCATGTTTTAAAAAACAACGTTTCAATCCATTCTTAAAGCTTGTCCTATCTATATGTGCACTATATAATATATATATATTATATCATGTATATATCCACACCCAATTGGGGCTCCTCATCACCACCCCAGCCCATTCCAAGGCACTGTTGCGCCAAAAGGTCCGCGCAGCGCGAGAGCTGCGAGCGGCAGAAGACCTAAGGCCAAGTGTTGGGCCTGATCTTCCACAGCTGTTTCCAAAGCTTTGGGCATGATGGGGAGGGCCAATGTACGGTGTGTGAAAACAAGTCAAAATTGTTTCGACTCACATGAGTGTGCATTAAGATTTAATAGGGAGACCGACACCCTGGACGAAGGAAAGTAGACCAGTCTAACCATTGGGCGGGGAGTCTGCCTATTCAACTTATACAACCCATAATATGGTGTTACGCACTGATGAGAACAAGAAGACCTTTTGCCACCCAGGAGCCAAGTCGGAGGTGAGCTGCGCGATTTCTCTCCTGAATGTGCGATGCGCCGAGCCCAGTAAGCTAGCTGCATTAAGCCAAGCGGTCTCTCTGAGCTCTAAAGCAATCCATCTGCAACGTGCGACACCCAACGGGCCACGGGTGTCACATAGCAGCTTGAAGACCCGCTTTCCGCTTCCCCTTTGAACATCAGCATGGGCGAACACAACGGCGTTTGATGGTTCGCACCACTTAGCTTACTCACCGGGTTCACCCCCCAGGGTTATTGAGCATTTCATGGATCTTTGAGTAGCTGGCGCCCAACGAGTGCCCCCGAAAGCCAAGCTGCTCGTAATGCACGCACAAACTTTCCTGGGCGCTAAAGTGACATGTGCTGTGGCTCGGGCTCTCTCCTGTTCTTCGGGAGGGGAGTTCCAAATGTTCTTAGCTGCTTCTTGCGGCGCAAACACGTCATGCTCATCTTTGCACAGACTTCAACAATCAAACACAAGCAAGTAAGGGCATCCTCTATCACGTAGCCGCCTTTCTGGTGCCTGTTTAGATGGCAGGGGGCTGTTACTTCATGGACGCTCAACTAAGATTATCAAAAAAGGCATGTTTCTCCCCAAACGATCTCACTCCACTCCGCTCATGTTAGAAGGTTGTCTTAAGAACTGTCTGCCTTCCATACCATGCAAGTGGGAAGAGAGAGTTTCACCATGGTTGTTCGTGCTGCACTGAAGAGTGTGTGTTCAAGTTGGAATGCATCCTACAGCGCCAGTCATCATGTGGAGCTCCGCGCGCATGTTCAAACCGTTCTTTTAGGCATCTTCAACGCCTCCCCACCCAGTCTCGCAGAAAGGGAGACAACCCTAAACCCAGTCTCGGAGACGTTGGAGACCACTTCGGAGCAGAATTGCCGAAAGGGATCCATGTCCTCTCTCTTCTGCCCGCAGTGCCTCACAAGAACGGAAGCGACCAAGGACATCCAAGGACTGACCCACGTGGTGCGACCTATGGAAGCCACTTAACAGCGAAGCGGAACATATGATCTGGGAAGCGAGATGAACCATCCTCCCTCACAAAGAACTGCAAAGCACGAACATCCGCATTCAGGCGAATGGCACGAGCAACCTTCAGGCAAATTTCACTCATCATACATTCCTACATCATTGAAGACTCATGAAGCCTTCAATGACTCTCACATGGTTTTCAGAACGTCTCCATCTTCAGTCTCGACCTCCCACCGGCGCAACGCGGCGCCATCGGAAGGCGCTGCGTCGTCTGCGTCCGCGCCTGCAGAAGTCCGAATCTGCCAGGTAGATATTCCCTGCGCGTCGACGGAGCACCGGAGCGAATCCGTCCGTGGAGCCGTCGCCACCAGCCCATCCGGGTGTTTTTCTTTTGTTTTTTTCCGTGGTGGAAGGCCCAAGGCGTGAGTGGGAGACAGCTGGAGGAAGCGGAAATCATGTCATCATGTCAGGAAACATGAACACCGGACCAACGGAGTCAACGAGCTCTTACGACGTGTGGTAATACTATGAAATACTCATCCTATGGCATTCAGCCGGGCCCTGATCCTACTCTGACTGCCGCTAGTTTGACTCTTACCCCTTGAATCGCATCCATGTCCCCATGCCTTTGGCCTACATGAAGGATGGGACAGGTCTCTTGACAGACCCGAAGTCGCCGGTAAATCAACAAACATCTACCTCAGTACCTCTCTGACCCTGCCAGGGTCTGCGTGGTTTGTTTGTTTGAGCTGTGAGTTCTGATTCGCGGCATTGACCACAGGGCCTTGTGCCTTGATTGTCTTACCTCTGCGGCCCATCATTTCAACCCAGAAGCTCTAAGATCCACAACGTGCAAGCTGTCAAAAGGGCCAAAATCATCTCAATCCTCTATCACTTATATTTCCGGCATTGTCTGTTGGTCACTTGGTCTTCACTAACCTATACTCTATCGGCCTTTTGCATACAGCAAATCGCGCCATCCGAAACCCATCATCTTCCGCCAAGGAACCGCAGTGCGGACCTGGCCACATCGAACCCATCGTGGTACGTCGTTGGCGTTCGACACCAGTCACGACGGGTCAACTGGATCTCTTGGGTCCACCAGGCTGGTTACGTGACAGTATGACATACAGTATGACTCACGTATGACTGACATATATATATAATATATATATATATATGACCACCAATTATATCCATGAGTGGCTCCCGCGCTGATCTATTGCGCGAACCATGTCTGAACGAATACGATGGTTTTTCAAGTGCTCTGCGTTTTAACGGTCGACTCAGGGTCGAGAAGACCTTCCAGATCTGCTGAATGATGTCGGCAAAAATATCAACTTTCCATGTTGATCAATTTCCATTATATAATACCTCCGGTCCCACGTCAATCTGCAACTTCTTCGATGTGTTGATCTCCCGATCGACGTGTCGACGACGTACCGAGAAAGCAGCCACGGTGTCACGTGGCCCGTGACCCACCAAGTCACTTTCAAAAGCCAAACAAGGGAAGTGCTTGGAACAGGATGGAGCAGGTGAAGTGGAGTCCCAATGTGGCAGGTGTTTATAGGTGGCTGTTGCTATATTTGGAACAGGTGAAGGCATACTTTAGAAGCAATCCTTCTGCTGCTGGAGTCTTGTGAACGTTTCGCACACACATGCCGTGACGATCCACATCCGGGGCTCCTCACATTGTGGCGATCGGTTGCTCATCGCGAGCAGCCCGCTCAACCGCCCACGAAACCCGACGGTCGGCGGGAGGAAGGGATGAGCCAGGGCTGCGGAGGGCGGGAGCTGAAAGCGGCTAAAAGGGTTGATCCTAGCGGCTAAAAGGGCCGAAGGACATACACCCTGTGATGCCATTTACATAATTTTATCATCTCCATGTGATGTGTCCAAACTTCTGTCTCTGGGGTAGTTTAACTTGTGCATCATTTCAAATTTCCCCCTCTCTCTCTGTATGGTACGTGTTTGATTGATCGGGCATGAAATGATTAGCCCTTTGGTGGTCACTTTCTGTGTCTGAAAAGTGCCAAAACACGCCTCAACTGTACGCCAACACACGTGTTCATCGTCATTCGGCTGGGCAGTCTTGGGCACTCTCCCAGCGCTGACAAACCAGAAATTCGGAACAACTTAACTTCAAGATCATGATATAGATTGATATAGATTGTTGTAGTAACATTTAGTAACTAGTGGACGTACAGCGATTGAACAATGGAGTGCCAAATCCCAACAACAACATGTGTCCGTTCGGAGTTAAAGCAGGTTGAAGCTGCCATGGCCTGCCATGTGACCACGTTCCACCCAAAAAACATGAATACATTAATGAATGCTGAATGCAACTGATTGGACATTCACGTCTTGGATTCCTGGATGCCATGTGTTGCAACCAGGTATGCCCAAACGTGGAGAAGGGAGGAGTTGCAGGGATTGTCCCTGCCAATGGGTCGGTTTCTTTGGTTTCTTGCCTTCTGAAGTGGCCATAAGTTAACTATTATAGTTAACTATTCATATAAGTCAAACATAGTCAAAGCATTGAATGGTCTAGCTCCCCCACTCTTGTGTGCAAGGAACGTATTGTTACTCTGCAGGTCCCAACCATCAGGGCAGTTTCCTGATTTCTCATCAGTGGCGATCCAAGATTACAAGTCACAGGGGTTCTCTCCCCCATCACGGGGTGGTCCAGTCACTTTTCTGCTATGGTTTGCTTCCCCTGTCCCCGTGCTCCCGGCACTCCAGAGCCGTGTGCTCCCTGCCTCCTAACATCTTGGGAGCGTCTTTGGGAAGATACTAACTCGCGATCACCGCTACTTCGGGCTGCACATCAGCCACCATTGAACGGCACCAAACACATCCGTGCTGGTTGAGGTTATGGCTCATGCCTTACCATTAAGAATGCTGCTTAAGAGCTACTTAGGGAATATTGAGGACAGTTGATGGTTGGATCTCAGATCTGTTCGCTTAACGTAGATGTGGTGCCTTCCTCATTTTCAACTATACTCGTGAAATGAACAACACACCACCTCTGAGCCGAAAGATACGGTAGCAACGAACGTCGAAGCAGCAAGCACTCAGTCAACTAACGTCTACCCATGTTTCTCAACTTCCGTCTGCGGAGTCGTTCTGCCCACCTCACGGCAACATCTGAGTTCACTGAGTTCTGACAAAAACGTCTCATTCAGAGGCACTAGTGCAAAGTGTAACGGGTATGAACACGTAATTGAAGGTGAAACCGTCAAACATCTTCAGGATGCCTTAGCACCGCCAATACCGCAACAAATGACACAAGTGACAAGGTCCTCTATACTGTGCACCGTGCACAGAAAGACATTGCTTGGTTCAGACTCCACATGCACCCCACTAATCAAAGGTGTCAGACTCTCCAAATGCACCCCACTGATCAAGAGGTGCCCCGCGAGATCTCACCACCTGGGGGGCGAAGAAAACCCGGCGACTCAGGGGGGCCAACTAGGGGGGCGTGGGTGGCGACGGGTAGGTAGGATGCCTTGGCTGAAAATTGCAGGTGAAGCATGAAGTATTATAGTGAGGCTCCTGAGTGTCTGCCTGTATGCCAAGATTGGGCCAAGATTGGGTTGAATTCCTCAACACTCCCCTTCTGCTGGGCTAGGTGCTTTCCTTCGCTGCTACCTCTTGGACATCCGGATGTGCATGATATCCTTCGCTGCTACTCTCCCCCAAAAAACACACACCCAGCGCTCCCCCGGATCTCTTCTTCCTCAAAGCCTCCCGGCGTGTCGGCCCCTGCCCCATGCCTTCCTCGCCGGAACACCGCACGGCCGGTATAGCGACAGATCGGGGGGGGCGAACTGTGGGCGTGCACTTGTGTGAACTGTGCCGGGGCAAAATTCGGGACATTCGGTACACCCGACCGTTGGTCCTGGTTGGTCCTTAGAGATGAGGTACCTCGACGTCTCGACCGCGGCTCTCTTTGGGGAGGCAGGGCCAATCTGTTGGCCTACACGGGGAAACACTTATATATGTCCAAATAGTCGAGATAGGTTTTGAGAAACAAGTGCAAATACCTGATGTCAGCATGACGCTATGTGAGGCCTTGACAGAATTCATGGTCTCACTGTGAGACCGCGATAGGTCAAGCCCATAAAAACCCATCGCGCGTGATTCTTCCATGATCTTCCATGGTCCATGTGCAGTGCCAATGTCAAACAAACCCCTGGGCTCGTTCTCGTTCATTTAGACCCACTCAGTGGAAGAAGGCCAATGTCATCTGTCGGGCGCTTTTCACCTCGCGTCTTGCCTTCTCACAGCTCCTTTGAGCCTTTCTGGAGGGCCTCCAGGTTGCAGTCTTTGAGCGTTGGGCATCTCCTTAATCGAAGACGTCATCCCTTTGTCCAAAATCGCTTCAACTTCAGGTACGGTAGATCCAATGTGTCGCTTCCAAGTTTGCTGTAGGGGGTGTCATTCAAAATTGGGGCCAAGCTGAAAAAGAAAGCAAGTTCCAAATAGCCCTTAACAAACAGCCTAGGCCGACCGGAGAATTCGCTGACTTGTCCTCCACATCCGCGACACTCCGCGGTTTTGGCTCTGAGTCTCCCCCAGTAATGTGCATGGCTGGCCCGGATCATGTTTTGCGAGATCCGCTTCTCAACTGCACGCAGCAGGTGGAACGCCACTGCAGAAGCCACTGAGTCTGCAGCGGCCTTAGGGTTGGAGTGCTTCAAAATGCATTGGCTTCTCCCACAACGCAAGCTCCCACACCCAATGGCCACAAAAGTGTGGTGTCTGTTTTCTTGTGACCATTGACCATACCACAGCCCCTGGTGGAAGAACATCCATCATGCACAGTCTTGGTCTTGCCAAGCACTGAAGCCGCCCAGGTCTGCGCCACGTTTGCAGCTCCAAAGTCTATCACTGTGACGATGATCTTTGAATATCACCACGCCCCTTCTTCCCAAGAAATGACAGGATCCCCTATTTAGCGATTGCAATAAGTGTTCCACATAGTCACATATCGGACCAAACTCTCTCAAAAATTGCGAAACCCTCAAAGACTGCACACCATCCAGCCTTGTGGTTGTTGACGGTCGTCAGCATTGAATATGCTGGACCCAAATCAGTCAAACAGTCGTCTGCGTCCTTGGTGCAGCAAGCAGCCAAGTCAACCTGCAAGTCATTCACGAAGTCTTGAACTCCTCACGAAGTCAGCCCACGATGAAAGGAAACTGCTGATGACTGTTTGTGTATGTGCATCGAAATAGAACATCAACATTAACAATTCACAATGAAAGAATCATAGTCCTGTTGCTGTTACTTCTCCGATCTTCTCAGTGTGGAAAGTAGATTTCAAAGCAAAGAAACATCTCCACTGAGCTGGCCTGCTTGTGCCTGGTGCTTGGAACAACGAACAGTCTGTCTCGATTATTGAAACCCGAGTCCTTGTTCCATGACTATCGCACCAACCTTGTCCAGAATGCCTTGTGTTTGCGCTGAGTGTGATGGCAAGGATTTGGTGGTGTTCAACGTATTGGAACTTTTGCCCCAATATGACAATATGCCGTAGTTCAACACAACAATCCGAAAAAGCCCCCCTCCCTCTCTCGCTCTCTCTCGCTTGATAAATTAAATGTCCTTACCTGCGCCCATGTAAAGGCACTTGTTTGCAAACAAGTGTTTTTCCTTGCTGAATTTGGTCTTGTGAATGCCGGAAACCTCCGCCCTCGGGCCACGTTGAGACACCTGTTTGTTTTATTTACCATGCAGGCTATAGACACATATAGACTCTAGACACCACCAAATGATGTTGGGTGGTGAACAAATGAATGCTCAACCACCTGGTAATCATCGACATTCAAAAGTTATGCTGGGTGGGTGGAGCAACCTAAAGGCGCAAAGGCAAAGGGTATAGCGGGTTGCTACTTATTTTGACTGTTCGAGTCTGACCCACTTTCACTCGGACCCACTGGTCTCGAGTAGTCGAAAGCCCACCGGCCAAGTCTCACCCTGCGGCAGCTTCTTTCCTGCAGCGGGACAAGACCATCCAAAGGCTTCAAAGAAATGGAACGGTTATATACTGATACACGTTAGCTCAAGACCTCACCCCCATAATACATGTGTATATACATAACGTGCTTCAAGGTCTAAGAAAACAGAATCCACTAATAGATGTGCATGTTACTGAACGAAAACAAAGGTCATTCAAATAGACATGGACATGATGGTTTCTGGAGACCACGCTCCTTGTCTCAGGGGCCATTTTGTGTTACAAGTCAATGATCAAAAAATTAATGTTGACTGTTGACTAGTAAGGCGCCCCACCAAGATGGTTCTACATCTTCATATGGGAGGTTTGTACTGATTTCATAAACAGTCAACATTACATGACAGTAATGACTTGGCCATCTTAGCTTCTCATTGGTTGGCGTCTTCACGAGGCAATCGCCATCAAAGAAGTTGTTGTCAAATTCACCGGAGCGAATCTTCGCCAGCATCTCCGGTAGTTCCTCTGCAGCTTTCTTATCAGCAACACCCAGAAACAGCCAAGTGCTGAAACCTTGGTGGGGACAGAGTTCCAAGCTTGTGTGACTGCACGACAAAACACAGTGGACCATGTTTTTTGCCTGATTCAAGATGTCAGGCCGGAAAAAAAGTCTGAGTCCTGGAAGCCTGGAAACTTTAGTTTGTTGGGATGAGGTGTTTTGGTAATGTAGACTTTTGACTCCCACATAAAGATGTGTTTCAATCCTGAGTGGCCCGAGGTTTCGCACATTTCTAAAAAACATGTCCGCTACATGTTGTTTTGAAAGAAGAGTTTCGACTCAATTAGATATCCGAATGTTCCACGAATTAGTCGCCAGGATTGTTCTTAATTACAAATTTACTCGCACTGATCGAGTTATAAACAAGTTGTTCCCTGTTTACCTTGGTTTTTGTAGTGTTTCCGGGCTCTTTGCCTGTTCGTAGCACTTTGGTTTCACGTGTTTGTTGTACATAGTGGTTCGGTCTGTTGTTCACCTCTCCGTCCTTTAAGGGGGTGTGTGGACGCGAACAGACCGCAAGTGCGTGCATCCAAATGGGGACGGTTTTCTTATGTTTTCTTTCTCAAGACTGTGGCATGGTCTTGGCAAAACAGCGTTGGCATCTCAGTGTCCCATGGCGACTTCAACCAAACCAAGGGACAAAGCCACGTTCCCGGGAATCGCGCCGCCATGGCACCGGGCAACGCCGGGCAACTCCAAAGACGTCTTGAGGTGTCGATGGGGCAGTTGAGACAGCAGCGAAATGGGCTTGATGAAGCACATGGCCAATGGCGACCCGCTTCCCCCAATATATTGTATGCATAATTGCATGTCTATGCGGCATAGGACTCTCCTAGTTGGACTACCAAGCCCAGGAACATCTGGGGTGATGGAAGGGCAAAAGATAGCTTTCATTGACTTATGCGGGTCACCCAACAGGCCTGGCTCAGCGAGGAGCCTCCACACCTACCGTCTCAATGTGTCTTAGGTGGTTTCAAGTTTTCAGCAGCACGGCGCACATCTCTGATGCGAATGCCACCGCTCTCCTTGTTGTAGTGGATTTTCTTGTCCTCTGGCCACCACACATCGGCGAACACGCGTCTATTCGAAACACAATGACCAAATGCCTTTGTGTCTTCTTCTTCTTCTGGCAGTTTTTCCCACCGCACCTCAGCCGCGAGTTCCGCTTGGCAGCGTTCCCCGCCGGACCTCAACCGCGAGTTCCGCTTGGCAGTGTTCCCCGCCGGACCTCAACCGCGAGCGTCGGCTAGCAGTGTCCCCAGCCGGACCTCAAACGCCAGCTCCCTATCGCACTCGGCGCTGCCGGCACTCAACCAACACACAACCACAAACACAATCACGAACACACAAGCACAAACACAAGCACAACCACATCCACAAACACACAATCACAAACACAACCACGACACACAACCAGAAAGACACATCCACACCATACAACCACAGCACACCCACAAGCAAAATCGAGAAGCACAAAACTCACGACTATGGCAACATGCTCCATCATGCTCATCACCATGGCATGAAGACAAATGATTGACATGTAAAGGTGGGGATGACTCGAAGTAACAATCTTTTCTAAGACCTTTCTTCTTTGGACCTTTTGTTCAATTGATTTTATCATTGTCATCTTATTTTTCTTATTCTTCTGTTTTGTCTCTTTCCTATTAACCTTCTTCTTCTCCTGCTTATTATTAATACTGTTCTTCTTCCTTCTTCCTTCTTCCGGATGGATAGCTTCAGTGTCAACAATCAAGGAGCAAGCTGAGCAAACCATTTCCATGACCAAGGGCATTACATGGCCTAACATGGCCGATGTGGACATTCTGTCGGATGTTTCATCCTACAACTCGGTCCTCCATATCGGATTCCGAAATGGCTAAGTAGTAGCCACTCCCCAGGTGCCGCAGCAACACGGGCCTCAGCGAGCGCTCTTCACACACCGCGTGGGTAGGTGAAGAGAGAACCCAGCCGAGCTGAAGCCATTTGTTGAGGGGTGGGTGCCGGTGCATGGTGGAGTCCAACGAAAGCACCTGGACAATCCCTGTTGGACCCGAACAGGACCGCAGGAATCGGGACGTAAACAGCAGTTGAAGTGGTCAATTCGCCACGAGCCGAAATCAGCTGCAAATGCAGCTGGCAAGAAATGTCGTCTTGGATGATTGTGGGCTCCAATGAGTTGCCAAGGGGTTGCCCAGGCATAAAAAGATTAAAAAGGAAGTCCTGAAGTAAATAGAATATGAATCAATCCGAAAACGTGACAAGCCAGTTCAGGTACTTTCTGGGCGGAATCCGCGCATCCTATCTACTCCTGGATGACTCTTTGATGAATATGTTTGATGCTTCTAAGCTTTAGGATCTGATCCGCATTTGTTGTTCATCCAGCTGCCGATTCCGGCCACTACCGTGGCCTCGCCGTCTACCGTGGCCTTCACGGACTGAGATTCCAGGCGTCACGCTGTACTCAATTCCTGTGTCCTGCGACAGGTCGACCCAGCGACTGGTCGACATTGGATGAAGCAGGTATTGCAGAAAGCTACCATTTGACTATATGTTGCTTTTTCACTACACTATCTATCAATACTTCCTTGTAGTTCAAGAGGCAGGGGCAAACAAACAAAAAGTGAACTTGCACACTTCGAACTTGGATTTTCAGTTAATGCAATCTCCCGAGGGTAA